AATACGCTTACCGTAGCACGTAGCACAACCACAGCTCCCAGTACCTCCAACCTCCACAACCACAGCTCCCAGTACCTCCAACCTCCACAACCACAGCTCCCAATATTTACACTTCCACAAGCATTTGTAGTTTCACTACACATTGTAGTAAGAAAGTTTGTTCTCGTCTACAAAATGTAACAAACTGTGGATCAGAAGTTGTATAAAGAATTTCAAAAAATGTGCACTTCCTGTATGTTGGACTGAAAGTCAAAGCTCAACCGTAGGCACCCAGGGGGCTTGGACCCAGTTAATACCTGCTTGTAGGTCTAGTTTTGTTTGTAGACAATATTCTGCTAAAAAGATGCTCGAACTGAACATACAAACAGGAGGCAGTTTGTAGTAAAGATGTTATGGGTTCTCTTTTAAACTATCATTTTAATTAGTGTGTTAGCTAGTGTTCAACTATTTACACAGCCCCCCCAGTTTAATTATAAAGAGAGACAAAGTCCCCAGTGGGAGGACTTTGTGGTGGATGAATGGTTATATGGGCGATAAATCAACTGAATCAAATTTACGTATTTTTAAAATTGTTTTTAAAAACATATTAGAAGAACATGTGGTGTCTTTTAAAGTATGTTTTTCAGAAAGAAGATTGGTGCAAATAGCATTACTGACGCCTTGTGCTTAAAAATCAATTAAAACTGAAACCAGTAAAATAAATTCCTGCTGTGCGGCTGCTTTGGAAAGTATAATTAACAATCTTGTACTTTGGTTAACACAGTTTTAGCAGTAGAAGCTAATGTTAGCAGGTTACTTCAGAGTTTCCTCTGCAGCATTGTGGCTCTAAAGTTAGGTTAGATGCTAAAGAGCTTTACCCTGAATGGACAGATAGATGTTGTTCTGTGTCTTTGTTTTTCTGTTTTATTTAGTTTTGAGCACATTGGGGTTCCGTAGATTGTTCCAAAGTTTATACAGACGGATTAGACTGTTTATATTAAAGATCTGAGTGATTCAGAACAGACACATTATTTATGAACCATTATTCAACTTTATTGTCATTACAGTGTCAGTGTAAGGAACTCTTAACCAGGGCAGACAGTAGCAGAAGTGCACTTAAAGAACAATATATGAAGCTAATGTAGAGCATTAACAGTCACATTATGAAATGAAAGTCTCAGTGGGCTAACTGGGATTAATGGTGCATGGCAGAGTAACATAATCAGGATGGAATAATGATGTTTTACATTTCAGTTGATGCACACCTGAACCTTGATGACAGGTGTGTAACTGTCTGACATGGTGGCTCTGACGGTAACAGTTTCACCTTTGTGAGTCAGACTGAGGTCTTTAGCTTTACCTCGGACAAACTTCTTCTCTGGTTTGTTATACATCTCTTTATAAAGGTTTTCATCACACTGTTTATTCATGTCAAAGATTCCCACTGCAAACCAGTTAGAGTACAGGTTAAAGTCATAAGGATTAGAGAACATGATGGCCAGTTTTCCATCATATTGCTGCGTGGATCCCTTCTGCAGATCGTAGGTCAGGACGCCAACAGATCCACAGGCTGTTTTAGGAGTCTTGATGAACAGAGCGCTGCCAGATTCAGAGGGACTGATTGTTGGAGGCATGGGTTTCTCACAGAATCCACTTTTAATGAACACACTGGGGAAACAAATGTCTGAGTCAAACATCCTGCATACGGAGCCCTGGAGTGGCCACAGAGAGAAAAATATAGATATAGATATACGTTTCCCTGCACTGAGCACATGAAATGCTAATGTGTGCACAGAAGATAAGTGTATGAACAGAGAGCAATGCAACAGAGCAGCCTTTCTCCCCGATGGATGGACGAACTCCAGCTGCTTCAACTAGAACTGTATCCATAACTGAATGGAAACATGGGAATGCATATCAGCATATTGTGTGCTCATTGTAGAAAAACGTGGCTCCATAAGTTGACACAGTGTGAAGGCAGAGTTGATATCAGTTTCATACACTGATATCATTGCTCTCATCTGAATTTTTTACATTTTTACTGTAAAAGGAAGGAAGCATACTTTGTCCGCAGTGTTGCAGCGACCATGGCCCAGTGTCAGTGAACACAGTGTTAAGTACGGCCAATGCTCTTTTGCCTGTTCTTTTCTGTCCTTGTTGTTTTCTTGTTTTTATGTCCAGCGGAAAACGCAGTCGGGCTTCATTGATAACTTTTTTTGTGTCGCAGCCTTCTTGGGGGAGAGCCTGGTCGATTGGAGGCAGGCAGAACGATATGCCGGGGGCAAAACCATCGGTCGGAGCGCCTCTACACTATTTTTAATACAATCCGCGCAATCCGGCGACAAGCTATTAATTCCATAAAACCTGAACACAAACAGTTGGGGACGGGCGGCCGCTGCATATAACACACTGAAATCCAACATTTGCGTAACACACACCGAAATCCCAACCCCCCATCCAGAGACTCAGATAGCACCCAACACCGCCCACAACGATTATTGATACACAACACCAAGACGCGCAGTTTTACCCAACATGCAACCCAATATCTACACCTCACGAAACAATACACAAAACGTACCACCAAGACCTGAAGAATCGATGGAATGGTCACTACACACAATTAACAAACAACAAGGTCTCTGTTCCTCTAAAGCTGTTTTAAGTGAACGACAATTAATCATGCAGGATTGATGATACTTGATTTACTTTGTCTTCACTGAGACCTGGTTGTCCCCAACGAGGAGTATCTCGTTAGTCTAATGAATCTACCCCCCCCCAGTCACCATTAATACTCAGCATCCCCCGACGGCACAGGCCCGACGGAGGTGGGGTAGGCAGCCATAAATATCGCATTCGAGCGTCTTTAACTGGACCCTAAAACCTAAAAAATGATAATTCATAAATTCATTCTGAAAGGCTGTCTTAGTCTGACCTCATCCCCCAAGCACTGGAAACTCCTGCAGCCAGTTCTATTTGTGTATAGTGTACCGCGCTGCCTGGACGCGCCTACTCTGATTGTTTTAGATATCTGAATTTCTCAGACGTTTTTATCAAGGTTTTAGTGCCCTTAAATTCAGCATAAAAGTATTATGTCCAGGTGACTTTTAGTATCCATGTGGATGCTTGACAATGACGCAGGCTTTAGTAACAG